TTATTTTCGTCTGCTGGCTTGAATATTCAAGAGAAATATGCGCACTCCGGTAGGATTCGAAACTGCGACCACCTTGGCAGGGGAAATCGTCAAAAGATTCGAATCCTGTCGGACAACGCATTTTTTTTTCAAGAATAAGATTTCCCGAATATTCAGGCCGGCAGACGAAAATAAATAAATATACAGTTTAATAAATAAAAGGAGCGTTTACTGAAATACGAGTATCCACTAAAAATAACGTTTAAAGTGATAAGTAAATATCCATCACTTATTTAAGGTAATGAAGGCGACTGGTATTCCATCTCGGCTCTGGTTACTCATTCCGAGCTTCCATTCCTTACACCAAACGCACACCCAAGGTTACGCAGAGCCATGACTGCCAACATGCTGAAGGGACACGACTCGTAAAAGAAGAATGGTGAAGACTGAAAAGTAGAGGAAATTAAGAGGTAGATATCTATTGCTATCTACAGTGCATTGTATGCTTTTTGTTCGTAGACAGTTGTTATTGGCCTATGAATAATATAGCCGAAAAACAAATGTAAAAAAAAAACTGGTCTGGGTAAATAATCAATGAACAACGTGACTAGTCGATAGAATGAAAAAAACAAACTTCCTTTCATTTGGTATGAGCCAAATTTTTGATAGCTTCTTCCTGGATGATATGAAAGGGAAGATAACCTTTATTTAAGTTCTCATTGGTTAGAATGTAATCTCCGGCCAGATCATAAGTCAGATCATTTTGGAAACATGTTACAAACGGACCCTCCTGACAGATCGATCATAAAGCTTTAGTCTGCCGTCAGTATGAAGAGAGGGTTTTTTTTTTCTTTTGTGAATTTATGAGGGTTAGGAAAGCCTGGGTATGAATAACTTAACGCCCTCAAAGTTTTACGAGTTATAGATTGTCACTATGCCATCTTTTTTTTTTTCCTGTTGGGAAGCACCTTTGCCTTATACGTATTCGCTAAGCTTAACTTAATGTAGCACAAAACCAAAAGGTTTTGTCGGATAATGGCAGAGCTCACGTTTGTCTTTGGACTCTAATAAGACCACAGTAATAAAAAAAATAAAACAAAGAACCATCATATAGGTCGTTAGTGGTTCCTTTAATCATTACCCTGACTTCAGTAAGACGATAAAGCCACTAAGACGTAGGGTGTAGTGAGAGTGAAGGAAAGAGATAACTATTCTGGAGAGAGGACTATAACAGAACCAGTTTCAAGAAGACAGATGATGTCGATTGACGTTGCATTTGAATTTTTGAAAATCGTAGCAGAGGGGAAAACAAGAAGAAGGGAAAGAATTCACCAGATGAGAAATTCGAAAGAGGAAGCTGCTAGAAGAGGTTTTATCTAGCCATTCAAACTGTAAAAGGATGAGACATAACTGCCAATCTAGTAGTTCGTTGAAATTCTGATGTCTTGGTATCAAAGCGGAAAACTCATCAAAAGAATTGCCATGAATATATTTACAGAATATGTGTCGAGTCTGCTCAGTACCAAACTGTGTAACCGCTTTGGAATACCAGCTGCTGTAAGGTTAGATGTGCGGATGGATAATGGCATGGAATTCTTAATCGAAGAACTGAGTTCTAATTCCCGTTAAATTCGTTATATTCACTTATGCGCAAATACTCTTTCAAAAGGTATGAAACCACCTCTTCTTCCCCCAGCTATGGGTTAATTAGTAAGGCTTGTATCACTAAATCATTATTATCTATAAAAAAAAAAGAATGAAAATTGTGTAAACAGTATATTTATTTTTTGGCATTGAATAACCCATAAAGGTGTTGATATACCGCTAAACAAAAACAACTAAATCAAGAAAAACAATTATTTAGAGCTTGCAAGTGAAGGAAGAAATCGAAAATTTTCAAATAGGAAGTCTAGTCTGTCTATATTTCTGAGATGAGGTATTATGTACACTATTTACATTATTCGGACTATTGTCTTCATCTTTGTCGCCATATTTATTACAACGTTTCGGCCTTTCATTATCTGTCTATATTTCTGAGTTGAGGTATTATGTACACTATTTACATTATTCGGACTATTGTCCTCATCTTTGTAGCCATATTTATTACAACGTTTCGGCCTTTCAGTATCTGTCTATATTTCTGAGATGAGGTATTATGCACACTATTTACATTATTCGGACTATTGTCTTCATCTTCGTTGCCATATTTATTACAACGTTTCGGCTTTTCAGTATCTGTCTATATTTCTGAGATGAGGTATTATATACACTATTTACATTATTCGGACTATTGTCTTCATCTTTGTCGCCATATTTATTACAACGTTTCGGCCTTTCAGTATCTGTCTATATTTCTGAGATGAGGTATTATGTACACTATTTACATTATTCAGACTATTGTTCTCATCTTTGTCGCCATATTTATTACAACGTTTCGACCGTTGTACACTCCGGCCTTCTTCAGGTGGTTGGAATGTCGAACTGAACCCTTTATTTCGCTCGCTGGGGTAGACTCTTCTAGTTCCACGTGCCATGTCTAATGGATGTCAGTTATCAGTTATCTCCTGTTAATTCCCCTCTGCATGTTCTCCACTGCCTTAACCGGGTATTGAACTCACATTCTTTGGGTCCTGTCACTGGATCTAGCCAACACCTTTAACCAGTGTGCTATACCCGCAAATGAGTGCGTTTTGTTTTTTTGGTTTTTTTTTTTTTGTAGTTATTTCGCGTATTTCCTGCTTTTTCTATTTTTTTTATTTCTGCCGCTGGCGGATGACAAGAGCGAAAGAGGATGAGATTCAAACACACAACAAATTGATCTAGCAACAACATGTAACCTTCTCTTAATTTAGTTAAAGCGAAGATGAAGCCCCTACCCAACCACCGATTTCATATCAGAAGAACAGACCGTCTATCGTTGCTTCGTTTGTTGACAAAAAGAAACAGCAGAGGTTACGATCGAAACAAAATCTTTGCAAAATGTCGAGCAAATTGTCTTTTCTCGATTAAAACAAAGGCCGGTCAATCGATATTTTGATTAGAATGACATGCGCAGACACACACACGCGTGCACAAAAAAATCACGCACCTAACCACTCACTCACACACCCAATAGATACACTCTCTCACCCACACGCACAAATATATATATATATATATATATATATATATATATATATGTGTGTGTGTATAAAAATGTACATTGAAATCCATACCCATAGGCGACAGTCTGATTCATGCTAAACGCAATCATCAGGTCATAACGTTTGGCGTTTGGCATGAAACAGACTGTCACCTCTGGGTGTTGACTTATATGACCACTTTTATATTTACATGCGCTCTATCCCTGATATAAAGCACTTTAACCCATGAATATAGCATACGCTAAAACTATATATATATATATATATATATATATATAGCATATATTTTAGCCGGATGTTCTCTTCAAGGTATGTCTAATTAAATAATTCAGACAAGTTTTGTCTACTTATTTTTAATAGGATCCTCTCGTAATTACAGACAAGCGTCTTAGTATCCCTATTAAAGGAAGAAAGAAAATTACCATGTTGATGCATATTCATTTTATTCCGGGTACTTTCGATATTAGCACAATGTCATCATCAGCGGCTTTTTTTTTTTTTTTAAGACAAAAAAATTATGTTCATCCTTTTTCTAAGACAAAATTGTTGTGGTCATCTGGAAATTACATTTTTAATTGTGTAATGAAAAACGCTAACCTCATGTACTGTACGATTTTTAAATTTCCTGATGTAAACAATCAACAAACGTCAAGGGAGGTAACTAATTTATTGAAATGTCTAAATATTAAAAACAATAAATATATTCTAATTGTCCTAAAAAAAAAAAACTAGTAAATACTAATATATCCACCACAGATCCTCGTAAAAAAATTAAATTAATTATACACTATACTGTATACAATATATCCAATGTAATCATTCGTAATGACTCCTCCTGAACAACTAAAACCAACATTGTATATAAATTTAAATGCCACTTCTTTAACAGAAAAAATAAGATATATGTTGATCATACTACAACTACGTACTCATGAAGGTTGAGTTTTCATTTGAATGATGGATCTAACATTTCTCAACATTTGCAATTTAGGAAAATCTGTCCACATTTGCAATTTGGGAAAATTCTTGTTGAAATTCCATGAAAATAATAAGCATAAACTAAAAATTCTTGAAGTTATATATATTCAAAAATTGAAACCAACCCTTAATAAAATTAATTATGAATACTGCAGAAATGTTTTACAGTTTACAGTAGATAGATTAAAATATCGCATTTTCTTTCTTTAAGTTTACTCGAGTACGCAGGCAGGTAAACGAAATATATGCTGCTTAAAAATAAACGGAACGTCTATTCAAATACGGGTATCCATTGACAATAACTATCATGATATTTATTTACCTATATCTCTCAATTATACACTCTTGTCTTACTCTATTCACATCTTTGCCAGCTTTATTTCTGCGATTTCTCTAATTACTTGATCAAATCTTTTCTCAAACACTTGCTTTAAACAATCTTACGCCTTCAACGGGCATCAATCACTTTTTTTTTAAAAGTGCAAACAAGACAACAACACATAAATGGGTTCAGTTTCAAGCGAAAATCGAGTTGTGGCGGAACTATTTGCGTAGTAATACATCTACAAAAGTATAAGGACAAAATGTCCGAAAGAAAAGAACGAAAATAACAAAACTGAAGGGAAAATCCTCGACAAGTATTTAATAAGAGACAAAAAGAAAAAAAAAAAAAGAAACGAAAACAAAAGAAATCGTGGTCAAAAATGGATAAAAGAAAGTGCGGGAAAACTCCCCGGACCGTTTCACATGGGCAAATTACCGAGCGTTTTCTTGCTTTCCTCCGCATCGGCTGACCCAACTCAATCATTATCGGATCAATAGCCCTGAGTTAATGATGCTGTTTATGATTAATATCCGTGCTGGATTGAGAAAGGGCGGTCGACAGGTCTTTTCGATTAGATGAGAAGACCTTATATTATTCTAGAGTTTCCTCCCAGTCTCTCAATCAATCACTGGCCGAAACTCTTATTTTTCTATTCGGCCGACCAGTGCATTCGTTCCTTTATCTATTCACTGACCGACGTTTTCACGTCGTCACGTAATGCTGAATGAATTGCGATTCTAATAATGCCTTATGAATTCAATTGTAACTAGTCACTGTTTTGTCTGTCTGTCTCTCTCTTTCTCTTTCTCTGTTTCCTCTTCTATTTCTTTCTCCCCACCCACTTTTTCCCTCACACACACATGATCGCGCGGGCGGACACACACGCAGTCTTATTCTATTCAGAACTATCTCTTAGTCTCTCCATATTTAATCGATCCATATCTATCGATTTATCTATTGTATACTCAGATCTATCTATCTATCTATCTATCTATCTATCTATCTATCTATCTATCTATCTATCTATCTATCTATCTCGCCTTCGTATTTTATCGAGCTATCACTGTTTATCAATTACATTTCAGGTTTTTCTTTTTATCAAACAATGAAGACATCAATTCATATTTGCTACTAAATATGTCTGACTTCATTACATTATCTATCTATCTATCTATCTATCTATCTATCTATCTATCTATCCCAGTCCATATTTATTTATCTTTGTCTGTTCATCTATCTATCTATCTATCTATCCATATTTATTTATCTTCTATCTGTCCATTTTATTTATCTTATCTATCTATCTATCTATCTATCTATCTATCTATCTATCTATCTATCTATCTATCTATCTATCCCAGTCCATATTTATTTATCTTAGTCTGTTCATTATCTATCTATCTATCTATCTATCTATCTATCTATCTATCTATCTATCTATCTATCTATCCCTTCTTTGTATTTTATCAACATATCATTTTTTTACCAATTACATTTCAGTTTTTTCTTTTTATCAATGTACACATCAATTTATATTTGCTACCAAATGTCTGATTTCATTTCATTTTCTATCTAATGTGTATCATAATTAAGAGAATCTTTTCAATCTGTTCATCTCTCTCTCTCTCTCTCTCCCTCTCTCTCTCTCTCTCTATATATATATATATATATATATATATATATATAATATTAGACGGGACTTCCACTGGAATAAATTATGACCATGGAATATTAGTAAGCCTTATATATATATATATATATATATATATATATATATATATATATATAAAGAGAAACCACTGGCCACATCTCTTATTTTCTTATTCGGGACTAAAATGGGATCCAGGCTCTCTACAATAGAGAAAACGAACAATGAAACATTAAAAAGAACATAAGGAAAATTTATCCCTTTAAAAACTGATCCATTTTTTGCCGGAAACTCGTGTAGCAAATATATGAAGAAAATATATAATATATACACGAAAACAAATCCATATTATAACCAAAACGGTTTCTCTCCTTTTTCTCTCGTTGAAACAATAACCTTCTCCCTAAATATATATATATATATATATAATTATTTATTTAAAAAAAAAAAAATTATAACATGTTTTTTTTTCCATAAAGGGCCGTGGAGATGTTCCTTGTCTCGTCACTTTTTTGTGTATATATATATATATATATGTGTGTGTGTGTGTGTGTGTGGGTGGGTGCTTATGTATTATAATCTGATTGTGTTTGTGTTGTTTTACGCGTGAGGTTAGGACCCCATTCACACACTTGGGATTAAAATGTATACATATATATTGTCAAAGGACCGTCTAACGTAATTTCAATGAAGAAATAAATTGAATAACATATGTATTTCTTCTTTTCTCCTCAGTAATTTTATAGTTGTAAACTTAATAGCGATTAAATTTGGATTTTGAAATTGGTAGTTTTTAATTTTAATATTAAATTTTATCATATAATTTAATAATTATTGGTTAGAATAAATTATTTTTTAATATTACCCGTATTTTAAAGATCTGAATAGCTATTACACCATGACTTCGTTGTGAAGCTTTTTGAATTTTCCTATACTTGTATTTTGCTTGGTCAATCTAGCTTTTGTAACAATGTTTCCCCCTAGCGAAGGATCGTTAATTAATTTGAAACTTTTAAAACCATTTATTTTACATTCAACATCATCACTTGATAAGACACCGGGGGTGTTGAAACAAAATGGCTATTTTTGTAGTGATTTTATAACATATTTATGTTATAAATTCTTTTTAAATAAATACGTTTCACTTTCTCTGAAATCTCTCTAATGGTGTGCTTTTCCTTGTGTAGCTTCACAATAGCTTGTCTCACAGAGTAATCAAGTTTTTGGCGTTTCGCCATGGTGCCGGCTGATGCACCGTTTACAAATGACTAAGTAAGACTTATTCTTTAGAGGAAATCAAAAAATTTGAATATAGCATACTGTTTACATTGTTCTTTCTCAATTTTGTCCCTTACTTTTGGACGATCCTATTTTGAAAATTAATAAATAATTGTTATAATTCTTTTTCTATCCTTTGCAAATGATTCAAATTTTAGTATGTTATTATGGATGATAACGACTACCAGTTGTCAAAATTTCAGCTTTTCACAGTTGTTATTTCTAACAAATATTAGGTTTTAAAATTTTGTCTCTTAGTTTTAGACGCTACTGTATATACATATATATATATATATATATATATATATATATATATATATATATATATATATATATAGTTGGATTGATGTGAGTTTGTCACCCTGGTTTCATGCCTTTGCGATCGTCAAACTCTGACGATCGCAAAAACGTGAAACCCAGGGTCCTAAACTCGCATTAATCAAAGCAAATATGTTAGCTCTATCTCCGATATTGAGCGCTTTCTAATAAGTACCGCGCATATATAATATATAAATAATTATATATATATATATATATATATATATATATATATATATATGACAGCCTCTACATGTCCAAATGGTTCGCGTATCGCAAGAATCTGAATCTCTTCAAATCAAGAGTTAGCCGTTAAATTTCCCGCATATACCCATTTCTATTGTTTCTCGAGTGGCTCTTGAGCTTTGTATAGGGTGAACATCATTGTAAAAAAGAACTTACTTTCTGTTTTTTCCCTGTTTGACTCTATTCATAACTTCACCTTCTTTCTCTCTCTCTCTCCCTCTCTCTCTCCCTCTCTCTCTCTCTCTGTTCTGAGATATATATATATCTATCTATAGAAAGATAGAGTAATAGGGAATCATCTTTCTGTCTCAGTTTCATTAGGTTTAAAACGTTCTTTTCTTTTTCTGTTTCTATTCATAAGTAGTATCCAGTCTCCCTAATAATCTCTTATTATATCTAGCTAAAGTAAACGTCAATTATCTATCTATCTATCTATCTATCTATCTATCTATCTATCTATCTGTTTCAATCTGTCCTGTCTATTCGAATTTAGCAGACCACCTTTACTTGCCACTCCTTCTGTCTCAATCATTTAAAATAAATCATTTTCTTTGCGATGCTTCTTAAAACAAAGCCGTTTCTAAATTTACTCCAACCACAGATCGATAAGTTAAACAAAATCTATCTATCTATCTATCTATCTATCTATCTATCTATCTATCTATATTTTGTCTTTTCATATCTGTCTAGTTAGCTAGTTAAATTTCCTACGTAGACTTACTCATTCAAATATTGATCACTTTTAATGTTTCTTAATGTACATTAGTACCACTAATACAACGTGGTTTATTTAAAAACAACAAAATTTAAAGGTCCGAATATATAAAAGAAGCGGAAGAAAAAAATAGCAATCTGGGATTGATTTTTATTGAAATTATTCATTTCTGTCGACAATTCAGAGAGGGCAACACATATTGAGCAAGAAAATGACAGTGTCTGCATGGACTTTGAATTGTAACTGAAGATATGGCTGGTATGTGCAAAGGTTTGCAAATCTCTGGAGTCAAAGAATACTCTCTGTGTGTGATATAACGATATGAGATTTTGTATAATTTTATATATCAACAAAAAAATATTCTTTCAAAAATAATGTTTCAAAACCATTTTGGAAATACCAGCGTTCTCGTTTTGTGTGCGTGTGTAGACATGGCAACAACAACAAAGGAAATCCAAGAAAATCCTAACGGATAAAAAAATTCCAAAAATCTGGGCAAATGGCACAACATCACAATTTAGTAGGGAGACCCTCTTTGTCAGGCCGTGAAATTTCTAGTACCCGTGTGTACAGGCGTATTCATAAGCAATTGTATTTAATGTAGGAACAAAGATCACAGATAGATAGATAGATAGATAGATAGATAGATAGATAGATAGATGATGAACAGACTGACATAGATAGATAGATAGATAGATGATGAACAGACTGACATAGATAGATAGATAGATAGATAGATGAATGCAACCACTCAAGATAGAAAACCAATATGCGGGTTATTAGTCAACTTCTAGTTCCCACTGAACCCGACATCAGTATTTGTCTGACCTAGAAATGCCAACGGCTCGGCATATTAGTCAATAAAGTGTCTGAAATGTGAGAAGGACTTCTTTCAATTATGCCATAAACTTACTTTAATGTCAATCTGTCACAACGATCCAATGCAATACGAATGACATACACGCCGGTAGTGAATGCAGAAAGAGATATGTGGAAGCGGCGTTGTTCATAAAAAGTGGAAGCAAGGAAAGAGATAGATAGATAGATAGATAGATATATAGATAGTGATAGAAAGAGGGGGCGAGAGAGAAAGCAAGAGATTTAGAAGACAAAGAATCACAATTTTGAATGGACTCTTTATTATTATTATTATTATTATTATTATTATTATTATTATTATTATTGTCTCAAAATCTCGTCGGCGCGAAGACTCGCCTAAAATGACTTGATAACCAACTCCGTGCATGTCACCCTATTCTGTTTTTTTTTTTCTCTCTCAGAGCATCTCTTCATCTCATGCCTGTCAATTCTAGGTTGTTGTACCGCCATCTTTTTCTTTGCCTGCATTGTTTTTCCTCCCTCCTTACACTGTCATCTCGCAGGATTGTCATGGCAATCCCTGCTCACCTTGAGACTCTCCCCAAATCATTTTAGTTTGCGAGACGCTTCACTGTGCTTTGGGGTATTTTTTTTTTTCCTTTTTGATATGGACTTCCCCGGCGGCATCTAGGAATTTTCGAAACTATCTAATGCCTATGGCCTGTATCCTTCTCTCTATACAAATGGGATTTATTGGGACCAAACAGCCTGTATGCTGGTAAATTAGCGTGATTTACTGGAAACAAACAAACAACATCCGGACAGAGAGGGAGTTCAGTGAATGTGTCAAAATAGAAAGAGATATCAGTAACAGACAGTTGAATCTTCTGCGGCACATATTTTGAGGAAAGAAAGCTTCGAAAAATTGAAACTCACAAGACGGATTGAAGGTAAGAGAAACAGAGGAAAGCAACATCACCTACGTGGCGAAATCGAGTCAATACATGGCGGAGCAGGGTTTGGGAGAGATGGCGAAAAGACAAAAGAGCTGCGAGGGACAGGAAATTGTGGAGAGGCATGATCACCAACGTCCTGATTATCAACGTAGTGATTTAAATGTTTTACATCTAAGCTACTCACTATTCAGGTGTAATTTATCTCCTGACACAAGTTTGCTAACCATTAGAACACGTCGAAGTTCTCTTCTGGGCTCCCATACCGAGAATCAAAACTAAGCTTCCTGAATAAATCTCATATTTTCTGTCGCTCCGAGGCGGATCTGACTTCCTTTTGCATCCCTGTGACTTTTTTTTTATAAATACTTCCATGGTAATTGTTCTGATGAGTTTATCGCCATGGTACCTCAACTTTTTTTAATCTAAGCGCAGTACTAAAATGACATCAGCGTCTCATCTTTTGACAGTTGAGCTGGTTAGATGTAGCCGTAAATTCTATGATAGCAGTATCTTTTCTCGCACTTCTCGCTTGTGGAACTTTCCAGCCAACTTAAAATTTAAAAATTCAGCGTCAGTCGCTATCTACTCTTGTCTTCATTACATTTTCCTCTTCCTGCTCATTATTAATGTTTCTGTTCCTAATTCTTCAACATCCAACAACCACTTGAGTCTTAGTGGCTTTACTACCTTGCATGGTGTGAATACCAATTAAAAAAAAAATCTGGTTTGGAGCTGCCCGTCCTCGCTTTTCAGCCTTGATATAGGTCGAAATCGTTTATGCGGTCGTGTAGTGGTGTGAAGGGTGACATTTTCCACTTTGCAGCCTCTTTCTCCACAGTCACAACCTCGCAAACCTATCTCTAATCTATATATCAGGTCATCCCATAAGTTCTGTCCAGATTTTGAATAAAGAAAACAAGTGACCAAATGTTACATTTAATTACAGATTCAATCAACAATGTATTTCCCTGATTATCTATGACTTCCTTCCATCTATTAACAAGCTTGCTATTTCCATTACTGTAAAATTCTTTTGGCTTTGATTCGAAGAACTCACAAATGTCAGTTTTAACCTCTTCCTGTGTTACAAAAGATGTTTCTTCCAAATGATTCTGTAAGCTACGAAACAAATAGTAGTCTGAAGGAGCAAGATCGGGAGAATAAGGTGGATGAAGAATTTTCTCCCAACCAAGTTCTTCGATCTTTTGTGACGTGATTCTTGCTGTGTGGGGTCGCGCATTGTCCTGATGAAACATCACCTCTTTTCGATTCACTAGAGCAGGTCTTTTTTTTCCCTCAAAGCTTGGTTCAAACGCTCTAATTGCTGACAGTATATTTGAGCATTAATTATTGCATTAGGTGGTAAGAATTCAAAGTGGATTATTCCTTGGCGTTCCCACCAGATTGAAAGAAGAATCTTTTGCCCATGAAGTTCCCTTCTCGGCTGTGACTGGGGTCCTTCCCCTTTACCACGTCACTGTCTACGACGCTTAACATTTCGATAAAAGATCCATTTTTCATCGCTAGTCACAAGTCTATCCAAAAAAGGTGAAACAATTTGGCGAGAATGGAGAGAAGAGCAGATGTCAACTCGGGATTTGAGGTTGTTTTCAGACAATTCATGAGGCACCCATTTTCCAAGTTTAGGAACTTTTCCAATTTATTGAAGATGACGATGAACAGTTGTATGGTTTGAACTGAGAACCACTGCCAATACCTCAACTGATAAAGCAGGATTTTCTTCAAGGGCTGCTTCATGAAGCTTTTCATCAAACTCAACTGGACGTGCGGTTCGATCTTTATCTTCAAGGGTGAAATCTCCACCTCTGAATTTTGCAAACCATCTTCTGCAAGTTCTTTCATTCACACATTCCTCTCCATAAACTGTGTGAATGTTTCTAGCCGCTTCGGCTGCTGAGTTTCCTTTCTTGAACTCATAAAGCAATATGTGCCTCAAATGATTCTTGGGTACTTCCATGTTAGCAAGGTTTTAATTTTAAAAAAAGTTAATTTTATTGTTCTCTGAAATAAAATTTGATCAGTTTAAATGCATCTAAACATAAAAATAATGTTCAGCTCCATTAGACATTATAAAATACGCTTTAAATTTCGTTCATTTTAACAAAAAAGTTAAAATTCGGACAGATCAGATGACCTGATATTTCAAAGTCAAATACTCAGAATACGCTTTAGTTCTAACGATAATGCCTTTACAAGAATGACACGCCACGCCACTTCCTAAGAATCGAATCGCCGCCAATTCCTCAACTTTCAAATGTAAGAAGAAAGTTCAATTCAGAGAGCTTCATCCTCTCGCAAGAACTACTTTGTGGAACAGACTCCGCGCATGGGTACTTTACGAAACACTTAATCTCTTCAAGAGTCAATCGTTATCTATCAATTTTATCCTCACAATCTTCATTTCCTATCCCTTTCCCTTTCATTCATATCACGCACCTCATCCATCAATATTATTTTACCTTACTCTACCTTTAGTTGTTCTTGAGCCTTGTATTAGGTTATTTTAGTATGAATATGTTGACTGGAAAGCCAAAAGCCGAATGTGAGTTCTACAAGAGAAGTGCGAGAGCGGAAAATGTTAGCATTTAACTTATCTAGCCATTTCAACTGTAAAATGATGAGACCTTACCGCCAATCTAGTACTGCGCTTAAATTCATATGTACGATAGAGTAAATTTCACCAGAACAATTACCATGAAAGTATTTATAAAATACATAATCCCAGTCATTAGCGATAGACTGTTCATTTTTTTTTCCGGGAAACCTTTTTTTGACTAATTGCTCACCCAATACAATGTCTAAGAGACACTCAAGGTAGAGGGTTAGCAAATGTTTGTTGAACATCCGTAAGAGGAGGAAGTAAGTTCAGATTATGAAGAAATGTAGGCTAGATAAGAGTTGACCGTAGATTTTTGCGAATAAGATTGTCGTGATCAGGGAACCCCACCCACCTGGAGTTTGCGCCTTAAATTAGGTGTTCTCGAGAAGACGCTGTCTGCGTGGAAATTCTTTCCTACCAAAATAAGAAGGAAATGAATACAAAATGAATGAGGGTGATTCGACACTGTGTATGTGGCAATGGCGAGTCTTAAATGGACTGGGGAAGCTAAAGAATGTAGCTCGTCTGAACATTTGCCATGGAAATTGTAAAAAGGCGTACGCCGTTTTGTCTGTGAGTAAGAG